CGAACCCCGGGATCCTCAATACTGCCGACGGCATACATCAACGCCGTCTTCCCCTGGCCATCCGCCGGTTGCACGTCGACCCCGACCCCGAGCAACCGGGTCACGACGGCCGCGTGGCCACCCTCGACCGCGGCGCTCAGCGCCGACAGCCCGCCGCGGGCCGTCTCGCGCACGTTGGGGTCGACGGCCCCCGTGCCCAGCAGAAGCTGTAGGACCTTGTCGTGGCCGTGCGCGGCGGCCCAGAAGAACGGGGTGCGGCCGAGCTCGTCGCGGCTCTCGAGTTTGACGCCCGGGGTGCCCAGCAGGAGGGTGACGATGGTGTCGTAGCCTTGCGTGGCGGCGAGGAAGAGGGCGACTTCGAGTTTGTCTTTTGGGGGTGGGGGGTCGGCCATTTTCCTTCCCCGGGGGGGTGTATGTTAGAGTGTAGAGCGCAGGGCGAATATGGGATAGTCGTAGTATGTAACGCTGTGCGATGTATACCTTGACGACAGACCTGATTCGGAACGCAAAGCAGGTGAGATCACAACGAGAAGAGATAGGAAAAGAGGTGAGGCACTCCACCAACACGAGTAGCGCCCAACCCTACCGGACGTAGGCACAGATACAAGCAAGTAGGTAAGTAAACTCAGACTACAATCCCCACTTCAAAGCTGCTCAGAGCGAATATGAGCTTCACACAAGAGAAGAGACAAGGGGCAAGAGCAAGCATTGATGGCAAAAACGGTTGCAATCCCTCCCCCACGCCGGGAGATATGGATGTACTGTATGTACACCTCACACACCCTCACTCCTCACCCCTCTCCAAGCACAGCACAGCACTACTGACAATATAAGGCAGCGAGTCGTAGCAGCGGTAGCAGCAGTGCAGCAGCGCAGCCAAACAACCCCACCAGCCAATACAATGCGTGCGACCCAGAAAACCGCGAATTGAAGTCGAGTACGAACTCGCTTATTATATACGGGGTATATATAACTCACTGAATCCAAATCGAGATCCAATGGATCAATAACAGTAATCACCAAGCATCAAGCATTAAACATTCATCTTCAGAAACAAAAATGAAACAAGTGAAGAAAGAGAAAGAAGAAGAAGAGAAGAAGAAGAAGAAGAAGAGAAGAAGAAGACGAAGAGAAGGAGAAGGAGGGAAAGAACAACCAACCCACTCACTCCACCCCGGCTACCCTACGCAACCCTACGCAACCCAACCCCAACCCCAGTTGAACCCATCCACCCCCCAGAGAACCACATTTAGCCTCATAGGGGAAAACTACCTGCCCAGTTCGACTAGACGGAAGGGCAGGAAATGAAGGCCAAAAACCCCCGCTGTCTTCTCCAATGCCTACCTGCATGCAACAGCAGTGAAGTGTACATTTACAACAGTAGACCCGCAATCTGCTGGGCCACGTGTGCCCTAGTCACTGGTTGGGGTGTGTTTCGTGCTACTTCAACCACGAAGTGCTGTATGGGATGCACATAGTAATTTCAGCATGGATCATGGGTTTGATCGTGGGCCCGGTTGGCTTGCTAGTTTAGCTTGGGTTGGGATTTGGGCGGAGGAGGAGGAGGAGGGAAGGGGGGATTGGAAGTCGGATTGGGGAGGGATCGGGTTCCTCGGGTCCGGGGGGCTCCGTGTGGCGTGCTGGGGGGGGGGGGTTTCTTTCAATTAGGGCATGTACAGTGCTATTGTAGAGTGGTACTAGTTTTTGATTCAAATACAGGGGTGGTGATTTCTGAATTGGATGGATTGCTCGGGTGGTCAAGAACGGGAGGGATGAACATAAATGGCAAAACATAGGGTTCCAAATCCGAGAGAATGTCGGGTTGAGGGGAAAGGAGGGGAGGACATGTCAAAAGGCAAACGTCGCTTCAACTGCCATGCCATGCAACGGCTGCTGCCCCCCTTGCAAAGCTGCTCCGAGTCCCTCCAACCTTGCACGCACGCAATACACTACTACTTCGTACTCCACCCAGTGAACAACCCGGTCATTCGATTCGATGGAACCCCGTCTGCCATCCGAACACGCATGCATCACACTTCATACATACATACATACATACAAAACGCCCATGCTATGCAACTTCAACGCAAAAACTGACAATGATCCACAACGCCGTGCCTGCACTGGACTTGAATTCAATTGTAGTGAAGAGTCGAAAGAAAAAAATGTCAACCAATGGAGTATAGCAAACCAACATCAACTACCCGGCTGACGATTGCCGGTGTATACACCCTCAAAATCTAACCCATCAAGCATCCCATTGACCCGGTCTATCTCCCGCGTGAGATCCTCGACATTCATCGCTAGGCTGCTGACCTCATCGAACTTGCGGCGTCGGTTCGCGTCGGCGATCATCTCCGACACGAAGAACTTTTGTTCCTCGAGCACAATTAACCGCTCCCGGAGGGCTTTCTCCTCCGCCTCCAGCGCAGAGACAGCGCTACTCGTGTCGCTGGCGAGGCTGCTGGTGCTGGCGCTAGCCGCAACGCTACCATATTTGATCGACGCCAAAGCGGACTCGGGCCGTCGAGGGCTGCCGACGAGGCCTTGGCTTGGACTTCCGGGGGTGCTACTGGGGCCGGGCAGTCGTCCATTTCCATTGGGAGTGGCATGTTTGAGCAGCTTGGGAAGCGTCTTCAACGGCAACATGTGTAGGTGCAAGAAATTGCTTGCCTGCTGATAAATGGCCTTCTGCAAGCGCTGTTGTGTGGGCGACTCCGTCGGCATATCCCGGATCCGTCTGGCCGCGACATCATACTGGGCGAACGAGTCCGTAAGTCGTTTACGCACCTTGGAAGCTTCCGCGAGTTGTGCTGATGAGGGGGGTCGTCGAGGATCTCTGCCAGCAAAAGTTAATGACTCCATTCTAAGACCAGCGCAAACTGCTATAGTGTACATACTGTAAAGTTGTTAGGAGCTTCTGAAACTTCGGTAACAAGAGCCGAATGCCTCTCTCGAACTGTGTGAGGTTCTCATAAGCCCTCACAGCTGGTGGTTTCCGGAGGAGTTCAGCCTCAAAATCACGTCGATCGAACAAGGTCGATCGGCAGTCCTTGCAGAGCCTGACATCAACGTTGATCACGCCGGCGCGATCTGACTTTTCCGCGGGTGTTTTAGCGACTGCCGACTCTGCCAACATCAATCTCTGTAAGCTAGTATCCCCACAGACGGATCACAATGGCAACGTACGGGACGATATACTCAAGGGAACCTCCGTGGAACAAGCCGTTGTAGGATCACCACATACAACCCGCCCGCAAGTTCTGCAATGATGTCTCCGGAAAGAGTAGCTGGAGAATTCCTGCTGGCAAAAGGGACAGCGGAGGACGCTTGCATCATCCTGCCAGCTGACGATGGTCTGCTCCAGAGCTTTTCGCTGATCACCCTGCCACGAAAGCGACCACAGTTTGTTGGCATTCGACTGAATCTGATCCACCGGCAAGCCCGCCAACAATTGTGTGAGTCGCGTCAGACGTTTCTCCAGACGCGAAACCTCCAGCAGCGCCTTGTCGACCGTATGTTTCCGGACGGCCTTGAATTCATCCATCCGGTCTCGCGTCAAGCCTATTCCAAACCAGTCAGCCTACCAAAATCCTACCGTACCAGGAGCCGAAGATTACCAGTATGATCATTATACCCCTCTCTGGACTTGTAACAAGTCTCACAAACGCGACACCACAGACCCCGAACCGGCTCATGCTGCGCCGACCTCGACAGCTTCATCTGATACATCGTATGCTCCTCGCAGAACAGCTTCCCGCACTTGCGACAGTTGACGCAGCCATTCGTCGTATTCAGCCGCTTCCCGCACGACGGTTCCAAGCACGAATCATACAGGGTCCGACCCTGCCAATGCTCCTTCGTGATAATATCATCTGGATCGAGCGGTCTCTCCGACGATGACGGCGGCGGTGGTGGCGGATGGTTCACATGTGCATGTGTCGATGCGGTCGGGCCGGACGACGACGCGCGACTCGGCCCCGCGAAGGGCAGCTGGAGGTTCTCGTTCGATTCGAACACGTCGAGCCCCTTGAGTTTCTGGTTCAACACCGCAAGAGGTTGAAACCGCTTCGCCTTGTCCATCTGCGTCTTGAACCAATCTTTGACTTCGTCTTGTCGATCATCTTCCAGGTTTTGGTGTACGTCATCGATGTGTCTGGCGGAGGGGAGGACATGGGATTAGTTATGTGGCGCAGATCAACGAAGGTAGCGAGCGGTGGGAGTACCTATTCAATTGTAGTAGTGTCACCTATTGAGTCCAAGTCCCTGTCAGTCTGCCGGTAGTCTATGAGGGGGGGGGGGATAAGCATGCTGCCATACCATCTCTTCACTGCAAATCGGACAGACCAGCTGAGCTCCGGCAGCCGCCGGAGCGGCAGGTATCGCGGTGGAGGCATTCTCAAGGGAGATGCGCGAGGTCAGGTCTTGGGCCTCGGACGAGAATTGAGAAGTGGACGCCTGGGAACTGAGGGAAAGACTGCTGGCGGAGGGCGATAAGACAAGGTTCCTTGGATGGTTCAGTTGCGGAGACGGGATCGCAGCAGCGGATGGAGAACGAGCGTTCGCGGGGCCTAGAACACGACCTCCACCCAGCGTCCTCCGGGGCATTTTGGCTGGAGACTATGAGCGCATGAGAGACAGAAGCCCATGTGGAGCAGAGGAGAAGGAGAGGAACAAGAAGGAGCAGTCAAAGAAGGAGAGGTGAGTTGTGAGTGGTAGCCAAAAGGGGGGTTGTGAGAGGAGACCGTCAGTCCAGCGGCAGCCTTGCCCGAAGGTGGAGCTTCAAAGGGGGGAGGGAAGGTGACAGACGTAGCCGGAAATTGGCTTATCGCTCGCCGGCTTGCACACCTGAGGCACAAGTCCATGGTTCTACAATATCCATCCTTACGAGTATTACAACTAAGGAATGATCGATCGATCCACTTTGTCACATTCCATCTTATTTTACTCAGTCTCAATCACTACGTCACACCGAAATGCAGAAGACACGACACAAAATTCTTCTATGACTTCATTTGTTCTATGAACACACATTCCGATGGCCGTAAGGGCCTTTCTTACCAATCAGCATAACAGTATATATCTAGACAGGACATATTAATAGAGGTCTCTCTAATGTACCCAACACCCTGAATTGTACCCAGGCCTCCTCATGCCTTTATCCCTGTCTGCTGCTCCAACGCCTCCTGGCGCTTGCGCTCCGCCTCCCGCTGGAGCTGATCTGGCCGGCGAATAGCGATATCCTTCGGCCGGAAGTCACTGAACAGTCGCTTGAGCACGTTCTCAATGATCCAGCATCCAGCGTAGTCGAACACCATCAAAACAGTCAGAGTAGCCTTGAACTCAGTGCTGAAGGGAACCAGGCGCAGCTTCTCGTTCAATTCCGGAACGAACTCCGTGGCGCAAGAGAAAGCAACACCGGAGGCGGCTAGCAGCCCCCAATACATCGCCTTGTTCTCACGAATCGACTCTCTGAAGGGACGGCCCTGATAGTTGATCGAGAAGGTCGAAATCTGCTGAATGAGCTGAAGCAGGTAGATGGCGCTGTTGAGAAGCGACGGCTCGAACTCTCCCTCTAAATCAATATCGGATTGTCTCCTAGTGCTAATTAGCATTTCTCTGCAACCTTAGAATTTGTAATAGACGGAGTGACTTACGGTTCGATCGAGTAGACGTAGTTCGACAGATAGATCAAGGTAACAATGTGGATAGCAAATTGACCAAGCACAGAGCCGATGATGTAGACGTTGAAGATGTTCGGCTGCGGACGTTCCTTGGACAAGCCTTCCACAGACTAGTTTCGGGAGTTAGTAAAGCAAAGGCAAAATGTTGTATGCATCAGAAGTAACTAACCTTCGCGCGGGAGATGGAAAGGAAGCAGACACTCATCAGCATACCGCTGATGGTGACTTGACCGTCACCAAACTTGATGCCGTCCAGGTAGATGACACTCAAGCTGTATGCACTGATCAAGCAGTTCAAGGCGAGAATCTTGTACATCTGGATGGTCGCAACAAGGGTGCAGCGTCCCTGACGAAGGATGTTAGGGATAGCAATAACATTGGCAAGTTTGCTCGTGAACGGAGCAGCAACCGAGGCGTCTCCGAGCTTCAAAGTCGGGGGTTCGTTGTCATCGAGTTCTTGTTCCATCATGGATGTGGTGAGCTTGTCAGCGAATCCAGCAGCAGAAACCGCCGCCTGTTGCCGCCGTTGTTGTTCGGGGGTCAAATTGGAGTTAGCCTGCTGTAGGGCTTGGGCGCCTGGCGAGGTAATGGTCGGAATCGCTTCTGCCTGGCCCTGCGCACCTGGAGTGGCGGCGCCCTTGCGCTGCGCCTCACGATCGATAGCCTTCTGGTAGTGGGGGTTGCTGGGACCAGGGGGGTACAAGTGGGCGATCTGAAGAGGAACAGGAGGAGCGGGCTGATTGAAACGTTGCATCATGCCAACCTGCTTTTCGTAGATTTCCTTCATCTTGGTTGTTCGGTAGTGGTCAGCGATCCTCTGAAGATCCTCAGGGGAACCGTTCAAGAGGGCAACGCCAACATGAGCTTGCTTCAGAGCACCAACGTCGTTGGTACCATCACCACACATCAGAGTCGTGTAACCGGCATCCTTGAGACCCAGGAGGATATCTTCCTTCTGCTTGGGAGAGACACGGGCGTAAACCCAAGTGTGACGAAGAAGGTCGGGCAAGGCCTTCTGTCCCTTGAACTTAGCCAAAGCGTAGCCCGTGACACAAATGTCCTTGGTGTCTAGGATGCGACGGTCCAGGGCTTCAGTAGGATCGACATCAATGTTAACTTTGTCATCGATGCTTCGCCAGACCAGCTTTGTTCCAGACTTGTCATTCTCAGGAGCATCGAGGATCAGGACCTCACGGTCCACAATTTCGACTTGACGTGCAACATGGACGGCTGTCAGCGGGTTGTCACCGGTGATCATAACAACACGGTGGCTACTCTCGTTGAGCATGCGGACGGCCTTGATGGCATCGTCCTTAAGAGGGCACTGCAAGACGAGGAAGCCGGCAAAGGTCAAATCAGACTCAACATCCTCACGGGTGTAGTTGTTGATGCGTCCGCGAGAGAATTCAGACTCATGAGAGAGGTACTTGTAAGCGAGAGCAAGGACACGGGCACCGTTACGGGTGAAGTACTTGTAAGTCTCTTCGTAACCCGGAGGAGTATCAACAAGCATGGTACGGATAGTCTCGGGAGCACCTTTAACACCCACAAAGGTAGACTTGACCTTCTTGTGGGCCTTGCGATCATCAAGGACAACAGTAGCAATCGTGCTCTGGCGCTTGAGCGCAGAAGAGAACTGGAACCGCCTCACAACCTGAACGGACTCGGGAACGACAGGACCAGTGGCAGGCATGGCCTTACCAGTCAAGGTATCGTTCTTGCCGAGAGTCCAACCGAGCCACTTGAGAGTAGCCTTCTCCATGGGGTCACCAACCACTTCGCCCTCATCGAGTTTGACCAAGGCGTGGGCACTTGCAAGCACAAGCGTAGTGTCAAGTCCGATGTTGCCGCCCTTGGCCAGCTCAGGGTGTGCGCCGTCCGATTCAACCTTAGCACCGGCGTGACCAAGAGTAAGCCCAGCAACACCGTCAACAACAAGATCCTCACCAGTGAGTGTGCCGGTTTTGTCAAAGCAGGCAACATCGACGCGTCCAGCGAAAGGAATCCGGAAAGGCTCCGTGCAGAAGATGGCGAACTTGCTCAAGGCAGCCAAGCTGGTGTTGACGGCAAGACTGAGTTCCATGGGGAGTTCGGGAGGGACGACACTGGTGATGATCAAGACACAGTCCAGAAGAAGCTTTGACCTCTTGCGATCCTGCGCAACACCCTCCTGCCAGACGTACCAGGAGGCGGCGATGGCGAAAATGAGAAGGAACAGAATGAAGAGCAGAGCTTCCGCATTGTTGGCAGAGACCCGTTCAGTAGAGTAAATCATTGTGCGCACGAGACTGCCCTGGCTAGTCTCGAATCCGGTCTTAACGACGACACCGAGCGCGCCAGCATCCGGAGTAGGCAGAATGCTCGAATCATTCTTGTAAACAAGATCCTCGGGAGCGGTGTTTGCATGGGTAATCTGCAAAACCTTGGTGCCTCCGTGAACGAAGGCGTTCTTGTCCAATCCATCAGGCTCAATCAAGTCGTCTCCGGGTCTGAGTTGAACCGATTCCTTCAGGAGAGGTGTGCTCTCCCCAGAAAGCATAGCCTCGTTGACGATGGCGCTGCCCTCGATGAGTAGAATATCACAAGCAACACCGCCATCCTCCTTGGTACGGTTGACAGACATAAGGTCACCGGGCAAGAGCTTGTCGCTGGTGATTTTCTGCCATTTCTTCTCACGGTAAACCCAAACGTCGTAAGGCTTGATGTTCATACCCCGGAACTCACCGAGGGTCCTCTGCCGTTGCCAGACGACCGTGCTCTCGAACATGACAAGCATGAAGAGCGTGAACAAGGAATAGTACCAGTATTCATCCAGCATCCACAAACCGACACAGAAGATCTGGAAAACGAAGAAAGGCGCGACTGCGTGCTCCTTCCAGAGCTCAACGAAACCGGGAACGGGGATGTCGAAAGTGTTGTCTCCATAGTGGTGGCGAACGCGCTCGATTTCTTCCTTAGTCGTGAAGCCCTGGCTCTTCTGAAAGAACTTGAGTGCAGGCTTGGGCTCTGCATCAAGCACGTACGACAGAGGAGCGAAGGACTTAGTCTCTTCGTTGAAGAGAAAACGGCGCTTCTGGAACAAAAATGAGATCGTCTTCTTTCCACCACGAGTATCAACGACCAACGGACAGATCTCAGCGGAGCCAGCGTTGGCGGCCGGGATGACCTTGATAAGACGGGCAGAATCGACCGACCGGGCCTTGGTAGCGGTGAACAGGGTTTCAATATTGATATTCCATTTTGTCATTAGCCAAAGGAGTGACTGCGCCGTGATGATCGAGCCAGAGAAAACGAAAGTCCATTCTTGGCCTTGAATATAAGTATCGTAGCGCTCAGGAGACAGGTAGAAAGCGAAGAACGCCGGCCAGATAATCAGGAAAGGCCAGACGTAGGTGTGTAGCTGGGTGGGAAGGGGATTGTGAAGCGACGCATATTTGATCTGATTATCATCCACGAGTCTCGCCCTATGGTCAGACCTGCGTGTTAGTAGATGAACGAGAATAAATGCAGTCCAAAGAAGGCGAAACCCACATGATGACACTCGGATGACCACGACGCGGGTCAAACGACGCGAACTTAGGAAGTTGGAAAAGGCCTCTCAGTAGGTAAGCATAGATGGTGAGGCGCCTAAACCATCAAATCCGGGCTGCTGATGTCGAACCGCTGTCGCAACGAGAGATGAAGAGGAAAGCACGAAGAAGCCACCTCAACGGTATAAATTTGGGGGATTTCCTCGCCGCCGGGAGCTGGAGGTACGGAAACCCCCGTCGGTGGTTACGATTGGCCGCCACGTGCCCGCACGGAGCTGGGATTTTCCCGGCCGCTTCGATAAGAGATGATGCAATTCCATTGACCTCCACACAGCTTTGTTCTCTTTGCGACCAGCTCAATCACACAGAAGTGGATGGACCCCAAGTGCCCAGGCTGAGGTATATCTACATGCCTTCCGAGCCGCTCCGGGCAGATAAAGGCCCTTCTCAGAAACATATTTCTTTATACTCCATTATGTGTCTTCCGGGGTACACGCGACATTTGCACCTACTAAGCATCGTTATTTGGATGTTGGTGTCCAGCCCAGAAATGTCTCTACTGTCTTTTGGATGCATCAATCTTGATCTACAACGAGTTGATTGCAGCCAGACAAGCCAATAGACTGTTACTACATCCTCAGGCTTGACCACAACATACCGATTTGATTCGTCCCCCACGACTGATTGTGTCGCGTGCATAGATAACCGCTCGGGTTGATGTAGATTGAGATGGCACGTTTGCTACCGAGTCGTAGCCCTGGACATGTCTGCAATAAAAGATCAAGGCTCGGAACACCAAACAACCTTCTTATGAACTGCATTGAGGGAACAACCCCGAAGGAAGCACAGGGTTCTCCCGAGCTTAGGTTTGGCGTACTCAGACCGCAACATCAGCGCCCTGTCGGCTGATAGTGGCGGGGGCACTTTTCAATACTGACTGGCGGGCTGCGCGTTCAAGGTCCGCAATGAAGGTACAAACTCGGTCCTCAGACCCGAGTCCCTCATTCTGCAGTGCGGCTTGTGTGGCTAGGCCATGCATGAACTGCGCGACCTCACTAATAAGGGTAACATCGTCCGTCGCAGTTTGAGTACTTGCGTTCTCCTGGACATTCCAGAGAATGGTTTGCATAGCAATTATGGGATAGAACACGACGAGCCTGGAAGACCTCAGGTTAGAAGACTCAGCAATAGACAGGTAATAAATCAGTGAGAAGCGGAGGGGAATGCCTATGTTTAGAATGCGTACCAGAAAACCTTGGGTTTCAAGGCCGACTTCACTGCTAGCAGAAATTGCAAGGATGAGCGGCAGGCCGACACAGAGATTTTTAAACTCGTGCTGACTCCCTCTAGCTCTCCTTTATGCCGATGGCTCCATGACTTGCAACGAGTACTCGCCAAATGGACGTAAGCTAGACAGTGGTAAAATTCGAGACGAAGCATCACCGCCCGCATGTCTGCGCCATCGCGGCCAATACTCCTGGCTGCAGAGAAGAAAAGCTTTGGACGGTGGTCAGGTGCAACAGCCATTCGCCATTCTTCAAGCCGACCATCCAATGTTCGAATGGCTTGCAAAATCTCGCCATCACTTTTCTCGAGGGCTCGCCGAGAGTACAAAGCAGCATAAGCCTGGGAACGGATCTCCGTTAACCGAAGATCGCCGGGAAATAGAGGCCGGGAGTAAATATCTGCTTCCATGGTAAATTGGACATAATCTTTGTAGCCTCTAGGAAGACTCAGATCGCAATTGTGTTCAGACAGAAACGGAGGCTGTTCGGTACGCCGACAAAGTTCTTTATCGAAATGATAGCACAGCCAGAAAAGGTTTCGAAGATGCGCGTCTTTCCTAGACCCTAGCTCAATTGAGTAGGTGAAGAGCGACGCGCGCTCAAGGCATGTCTTCGAATGGCCTCCGAGAAGGAGTACTGCTCGAGAGGCGAAAGTGCTCCACATGACAGCCATTCGAAGTTTTCCCGAAAAAAGATAGACGACAATCATGATGACTGATGTTTGCAGCAGGTCTATGTCGGGCTCTTGCCCTATATGCATGGAGGTCTCAATATAGTGCAAAACGCGCAAACGTTCAGTTAGCGAGATGCGATGACCTGCTTCTAATTGATGTATCGACATGAACGCAAGAAAAGCCCACACGCAGAGACAAGCAGACTTCCTAGCCCCTCGCGTACGAGGATCAATCTCATAAGCATACGATAAAGTTCGTTGGAAGAGAATGGGGTCTATTATCGGGAATATGGAACTATAAATCGAAGAGTAGAAGTCAATGGCAAGGGATTTGATCACATCATAGTCAGGTAGACTTGTTCGATCAATTGAACTTGATTCGTGATTCAGACCGGGGTCATATTGTGCAATATTCTCCCAGGGTGGAGAGCTAAAAGAATCAATGGTCGGTGATGATTGTCTGGAATGCTGACTACCCTGCGTGCACGGTATTGCAGGGATAGTGTCTGAAGCTGATGACAACGAGGCGTTCCCTTTAGTTATTGGGATGTGGCCGCTTAAGTGCTCCGCAGTGTGATTTCGAAGTTTACTAGGCGGCAGGGTAGAATCACCCACCACTCCGTGATCAGACGCATTGATATGAAGCCCTAATGCGACGCTCAGTATTTGCGGTGCTTGAAGTTAACAAGATAGCTCGTGCTCTGTGCTTGAACAAGCCTGTGACATGGAACTTGAACTGACCGTCTTGAGAACTGCGAGCATTTTCTCGTGGCTGCCTAAAGACGGTCACGTCAGCGCACACTTGAGGAGCCAAGTAGGGTATTTCCCAAGCACCACTTCAATGACCCTCAATCGGAAGAAGCCCGTCGTATATATATAAGGTATTCACTCACATATAATTGCGGCGTCTCTTGCGTTGCCTATCGTAAAGACAGGGGACGTCCTGATGAGTGCACCAATTGCACCGGGGTTGGGCTGCATCGCATTTGATCTATGCAACATGAGGATTGTCCAAGAAACTCATCATGTAGTAAGTAGATAATTTACCTTTTGCCGATGACATCGGTCACAAGCGCGAGAAACGCGCGTTCTACCTGCTTTTTCTCCGAAGGCGAGAGAAACCACCTTGTAGCCGGCATTCATGTTGGGAGGGCGCGTCTGGGATTAGCACGGTCCCTACGACTGTCAATGGTGTTCATGCAGTTGTCAGAGAGATGAAGAAAGTGGAAACCTCGAGGAAAGAAATCTGGAATGGGATTTGGGGTCGAGCTGGAAAAGAGAAGTATATCGGAGTAGAACAAAATCTCGGGGACGGGAGTTATATACAAGTCGGAAGGTGAAAAAGAAGCCGAGACTCGGCCCGCGCGAGGATGGTATGAGGTCAAATCAAAGCAGAGTCTTCCACTTTCAGGACTCTCTCTGTTGCGTACACTCAATAATTTTGTTCTGAGCGCTTAATTGACCCTGAAAATCGATCTTCAAGAACACTCAAGAAGGAAGAGACTTATGTACGATAACTTGAACGATACCGAAACTCTAGCTTATTCCCCAAACCTATTTGTCAGGACGATTTGAGATGAATCTGTGAAACGATTACGTGGAGAGCTATCTAATTGCAATCTATCGTGCCAAGCATTGTTAGATGACTAGGCAGTTAAAATGGGAATTTGGTTTCTTGCGAAGGCGCTATGCGAGTCAAAATTATTGCTAAGAATAGTAGAGATTCAATACAACATTTAGATCTTTTGGATATCGTCTAATTCGATTTACTCTGGAACAAGTGGACTTGAACAATATACTACATTTTCCTGTTATAACTGCGTAAAGTTCCGTATCCTCCATGATAACGCATTTGGGGGAGCCGAAGAACCACTTTCCAAGGAATCAGTAGACAAGATGAGGATCTATAGCTTGACCGACTCCGACCAGGGCGTGTAAATCGCGCGGACGAACTCAGCAACCCACGAGATGGTAGCGCAATCCGCTTCTTCAACTGAGTGACCACCTGTTCTCAGCGCCTCCAGTTGAACAAACTATTCCAAACGCCTTGTTCTTCGCCTTCAGCGGCGGGATATGTGGCTCATGCTGCCAGAGCTCCTGGTAGAACGGCGTAAGCGACGAGACATCCCATCAGGCAGCCTGGTCCGCCCTGGCCTCGAGTGCCATATCCAAGAATGAACGATACCAGAGCCAGCCGTCGGCGTCCGTGCCGTAGCCGTTGTCACGCTAGTACAACAGGAGCATCGCTTCGACATACCGCGCCGGCCAAATCTCCTTGGAAGACCCAATTGAGGTCAACTTGCTTGTCTGAGCTGTACTCGAATCGAGACATCTTTGGTATGGCTGTTTGCTCTTGTGCTGATCTGATATAAGGGGACGCTTGAGGAAAAGAATGAATAAATTCTCTCGATAACTTGAAGATAATATAAGTGTGCTTGGACGGCTTTGTGACTGGGCATGAAGTATTGACCGATAAGAGATTGACCTTTGTATTCTTACCGTTGGGGTCCAGTGCTTCCATTGTCTACTAGGCGGACGTTATCCCGTCTACCAATCAATAATCGTGGTCGGCAGAGGCGAAGCCCTAGAAGCTTTTGGCAAAACATGACATCACATCATGGATACGTGCGAGGAAGGATCTTCTCCAAATATGGTGATTCATACTAAGAAGCATCAGTATAAACCTCCCAAAGCTGGCCGTCAATTCCAAGGAATGCACTGATTGATATGGCTTTCGGAAGCTTACATGCCGACGCCCAGGCAAGTTCCCTACATAGCTGTCTTAGTAATCTAGACTCTTGTTGTTCTAAGAGGATGGTGGGCCAGGACTTATCCGAGTAAGGTATACCTACTACGTACTAATAAGAGGTCGTGCAGACACACAGAAACATCGTAAACCAAATTAAATATATCGTAAGTAAGCTACCAATAGCAGCAGAGATCCTATACAATGTCTGAGGTCACGACAAAAGACTTGTGTATATTGACCCCATTCATTCGTTTAGGCTTCGGGTTGAGGTCCTCCTGACTACTGTGCGGGCTTCCAGCCGAGGTTTGTATAGTCGTGACCACGCCCTGAGAATCTTCCGGATCGAGATCCGGCCGCCAGTACTTCGTCGCGTTGCTCTGTGAGGCGTGAGCTGCATGGCCGACCGAGCTCGAGAGTGGTATGCTACCACCTGTTCTCTTGCTACGCGTGGCGCCATAGCTGGCGTCACCAAGCCAGCGAAAGAGAGGACGCAGGGTAACAAGACACCCTGCCGTGATGCCGAGGCCAGCCTCGACATTGGACCAGATTGAAATCTGCGCTGTAGCGTCTGAAAAAAGCTCTAATGAGTAACCTGTGTGGCTCTGGTGTGGTGTGGAATTTAAACTTACAGAGGAACTCCTTATCGTTGTAAGTAGGCAGGAAAGGTATGCGTACAATCACAGCTGCGCTGGCTCTATCGGGCCATTAATTCATGGCCGGTCATCAGGCAATGGATGTTCATCCAAGAGTACTCACACGCAACCCATGCTCAAGATCCCTGCTAGTGCAGCCTTGGTTCTTGTACTCATTTGCAAGTTCCAGACTAAAAAGGCAGGTAATAACCCCAGGATCAAGTCACAGACCATGGCTGTTACACTGTATAGGTAGGCGACATCGATGAGGTACTCGATGGAGATGCAGGTACCAGTGGAATGAAAACGTTGCCAAAAGTATGAAACCGGTTGGCATTCTAGAGTCAACATGAACCAGAATACCAGGCCCACGACAATCGAGATGGCGATGACAAACCACAGAAGCATCTTGTGTATCCGTGAGACGGTAAGCCGAAAGAGAGTCAATGCAATAGAGACCTTGGCAACGACTACTGTCACAACATAGCTTGTTTGACCTAACCACCACCACTGGCGAACGTTAATTTACTTTGCCGCTTGGAACAGGATAGTATTCCTAGATCACATACAAACAAGGCGGTTTCTAGCGTGTCTTGGTCAAGCCACTCGAGTTTTTGGCCCATGCCATACACTGACCCGGTGATACCACACAAGGCAAATAATATCTGCAGCGCCTGTTATGGTGTATCTCATGATCAGTATGATTCAAGAAGACAGCCACGAGAATGGCCAGAGCAGCTAGGCACGTACCATAGCTAGAACCATCAATGCATCGTCCCATCCGAATGCGCGCACCAGTCGCAGTCTCACGAAACATCGTAAGCAGACGGAAATGAAGGAAAGTCCGAGGAAAACCACGGTAACAACGAAGATAGACTCGCTGCGACCTTTGAACTCAACCATTGTAGATTGTCTGTGAGGTGAGGTCAATCACGACTGAGGATAGTGATCTAGGAGCTGATGACATAGTCATCTCAAAGTGGAAAAGCAACCATCAAGGGAGCGAGGAGAGAGAGAGAAAGAGAGAAAGAGAGGCGGCAACAGCGCACAGAATATTGCACTGCAGGTGGTGCCGGACGATAGCACTTTAAGGGGAGCAGACTGGCTGCATAAGAAGAAGCTTCTACGCTAAGAGTCGGGCCGGGTCGGACTGTCTGACAAGGCATGGATGGAAGGTTTAGTGAAGAGTGATGGGGCATGGACCCAGTGGCAAGGAAGCGACTGTGAGGGTGGAAGAGTGACAAATGGACCCCAGCAACTGCAGCTTGGGTGGGGAAGGGATACCAAGGCACGTTCTGAACTCCGAAAGTGACCCCTCAATGCCATCATGCCGAGTGGCTAGGGCCAGAAATAGACTTTGGTAGAAGCTGAAGACCCATCGGCAAAACTTGAGTGAGGTTCAGTTCTGAGTATTGATCTGTACGTTAGCAATGCCCTGTCAGCAATGGCCAAAATAGGCTGATCGGCACCGGCCTAGCAGTGCCAGAAGATGGCTCTGGGGCAATCTCCAGGCATTCAGAATGTCCACCTTGCCATGAAAGGAAAATGTAGTCAGTAGTCCACTTCAAGGTGCATTGGTTCGGATGGTTCATCACTCCACCTGTCTCTTGAGTCTGGACGGGGTTACTTCCAAAGGTGGGGAGGGGAAAAAGGGAACCTCCTCCTGGCACGGACACCTTACTACAAACGATCCTAGTAGCATCAATGCTGACAGCTAGAAGACAACATGCAGTAATTTCTAGGAGTCTAGACTATGGCCTACCATTGGCTCGAACGATTGGTGTCTCGAACTTTTGATGCCGTAAAGATGCGGCTTGCTGTGCGATGAAAAAAAGCTTGCCAGTGGAGGCCGGCTAGACATGCATGCAGATGGGTACCAAGAATCGCGCACCCTGCAGGGGACACACGCGGATGATCCAGACCCGATTGTCATATTGTAACAGGCTCCTGTACCTGAGAGCTTGAGGAATGACGTCGTGGGAGTAGGGTTGTATTTATGCTGGCGGCCATAGCAAGATTCTAGAGTATGTCTAAATAGAAAGTGTTGGACAGGGCCGATAGGCTTCTGTAGGGCAAGTGAAGTCTAATTCTCTACCATCCATGGAACTAAACAACAACTAACTACAGATATCCACTGCAAATGAAGGTTTTGCCCGTTCTTCTGGGACAGCCTTAACCAGAAACAGGTGTTGCAGGATACTCTTCCTCACGCCGCTCCTCGGTACTGCACTTGTAGCAACAATGATGTCCACATAGCTGTTCCATCGAAGCAGATCAAGATGCGCAATCTCGGCAAATGAGTTCACGATTCAGCCCGGACGAAAAGCCAACCTGATCGATCTTGTTCGCACAGGGTATAGATAGACAGCCCCACCGAAGGATGTTTCATTTCGATCTTCTTCCCTGTCAACACCGTTGGACTGAATTGGAAGCCTATCTTCCCTGACAATGATGTGTGAATGATACGCTACAGACTTGTGCTTGGATATCTCTTAATTCAAAATAGCTTTGGTCCGATCCTTTAGTATGCGTTGGTTCTGTAAGTTATTAACCCTTGTAAATGAGCGGGCTACTCGAGTACTTTGACTAATAAAACCACCATGACTCGTGACGGGCAGCTACCGAACGGTCTCCAACCGTCTCAACGTGCCCCTCTTCTGAAGTCCTTACCCGGCAACACAACTCCACAATTAATTTGAGCCTGCCGATCCAGCAAGAGGATCGCATCTGAGGATCTCAGATGCAGCTACACTTGTTCCACCCTCCTCCTCTTTTTTGAGTAGGACAATGCGTATGAGAACGATCGCATTATCAACAGGTCTAGAAACAATCTCTCTTGTGTGATGCACAATGCTGTTTGTTTTATTTGGCTTTTCCGCATACGCGTCTGACAGGTGACAGGTGTCAGCACTTGATGCCAGGGACAATTTCTTCGCCATCTCGCCTAGAACCTGAGCTAGCCTCTAGTGCCGCCGAGCTTCGCAACACCCTATCATTATTCGCAGGGAAAAGGGAAAGCCATGTCATCGTGCGCAATGCCCCCCTGATTTCAGTCCCTACAGTCCATGATTCGGAGGAGGGTACCCGTTTCCGGCCTTGCTCCGCTTATGGTTTCAACCATCAGTGGAACATGGCGGAAGCGGCGTCCACGAACCATAATAAGCTCGGCTATCGATTTCGCATTAGTAGCACCATACGCATGCTGATAGCTGTCCACGGCATCGGGAAGTCTCGCGTGCACTACTGCTGTTTTCTTCCAGGATCTTCCCTCGAATTAGGCGGGCACTGAAGCCTGAATGCCAAACCTAATTCACAATCCACCGATTGGAGGGAGGAAACTTTCAAGGTGCTGCATGTTTTCAGAGTGTTACGAAGTCGGTACTCCCCCTCTTATCTGACCTGGATACTTGAGGTCACTGTCAACGTCACATACTAGGTAGGCTAGACCGGTCCCCACCTAGTGAAACGGTCGTTGCTTGAATGCACGTTTCATCTGTCATCGGTCGAACTGTCAACAGAGTGCCTTAGATGCTATTTTGAGCCACCAGGTGGAGTGATCTGGGCTCTATACTTTATAGCATATACTGCGATGCTCCAAGAGTGCGCGAATTCCTTCTCTGAACTCACACCAACGCTTGAGTTTTGTCACACGTGCAACGGTGCTACGCATATACGGAGTACCACCAGAGGCGGGGGTTCTGAGTTGTCACTTTTGCCCTATGCAACAGCCACCTGAAAGCAGAGGACTTCGTGCTATCAGTGGGACCCAATTTTCCTCGCTCTGGGCGATGCCAGAGGTAATGTGAACCTAATTGTTGCCCTAGGGGAGCACAGGCGGTTGTATGCTGGGTTAAATTCAATGGAAGGCTAGTCACCATAATTATCAAGCCTATCATACGAGTCAAATCATTGCCAATATCCGAGAGTCCTTCCAAGGGAGAGTAGCATTCCAGATTGGCAAATAGGCCCGCGGCGGCATGCTAGATTACCCAATTGGGACAGAGGCGCAGACGACCCCGGGACAGTTGGTGCAGGCTTCCAGCCTTCTATGAGTCCCACCTCTAGCCCCCTTCACATGGCAATCTCGAAAGTGTTAGGTACACTGCGGCGTCAGTCTCGATTCAATGTTTATTCTAGGTCCTGGAAACCTCCTGGCTAAGTCACCGCTGCTATGCGCGTGATTACTCATGTTCTACCTTGCATCCTCCTTCCTTATGGTATCTGTCTTTCCACTACTTCATCAGCTGTCGCATAACTATACCAGCGGCACGCTTTAGCAATCATCGATGCTGATCACGTGATAGAAAGTAAGCAAGCGAAGACCTGGGCATGATGTGTAGCATAAGAGTGTGTGAAGAGCGCAACGCACCTGAATTCGCCAGATCAATCCGGTTGAGCCCAGAGATGTCAGCTAGCATGCTCCCAAAGGCCAAAGCCTGCCGCTTATTGAACAAAGAGAAACATTTGCGCAAGCGCGACAACACCCAGCGTCATGAGAATCGGATTCCTTGCGCGAAAATCGACAACAGCCTGCTGGAAGGAGATAACTGCGCTGGCCACCAGCCGTAGGAAGTGTATAGCCATACCTAGTAACTCTCGATAAGCGAGGTGATTCATATAATGATGAAAATAGGAAGAGCTCACTGAAGAACAGCGACCACAAGGCTTGAGCAATCGTTCTGAGGCATATGCTGACAAAACAGTATCGGTAGTCTCGGAAGAGACGCCTCAAGGCCTGTGTTTTGTTCTGGTCTACTGGCAGTCGACCGCTCGTTGCTCAAACCTTTTCATCAATCGACGAAGCTCTAACGAGCCGCTCTCCGGTCGATATGCCGCAGTATCATAGCCGTTTTCTCCCCTCATAGTACGTCGATCGGCTCACCTAGATCGCCTAAAGAAAGCCCCAGGACTCAGCCTGGCAGGGAAAGAGATTTTCCAGGTCATCATCACAGGATCTGCTTGTGAGTACCGATGCGGACGATGCAACAGCAATAGAATTGGTTGCCAGTGATGGGATAGGTCAAAACACGAAGCTCGCGCGTAAGCCTGACGGGCGTAAAGATATCTGTGTCCAGCACTTAGGGGATGTTGGCTAAGATCTAGACTCTATGGTGGGATTTCCGTTGTGTAGAAGGAAGAGAAAGTTTATCAAGCAGCTTGGAGCTTGGAACCCATGTAGCGCCGTGAGTGAATGCCTCCTCCAAGGGTGCTCGGGGCAGCTGCTAAGCGAGCATAGTGAGTATCAAGACCTAAGACGGGGCTCGTATGGGTCTTTACTCAAGTCGAACGTCATCCATCCTCAACACTGCCTCCTTAATTTCCGCCCCAATATAGAATCCCCGCCTATGCCTGTGTTGGCTCTTTCTAGTCACGGTCATCGCCATGCTCATCACAGAAGATCAGATAGGATCAGGCATTTTATGGAGGATTGGGGTAGACTTGTCAATCATCTCGTCTCGCCGTACGGCACTTACACCACCAACTCCGTCTCAAGCTCATCCGGCCATACCATACAGCTTGGCATTATGGAGCTCCAGTTCTTATATGTGCATTGCTGTCTAAGATAATTTGGAAGGATTGTACCGGGCCACAGGAACGAAACGATGCCATGGTTGTGATGGCGCCAGAGCGGCCAAAGACTTGAACAAGCTCACGAATCGTCTCGTACAAATGTCCTCCTGTGATCGTCTCGACCACTTGGGCAAGGGATTTGTGGATAAACACCTCCCCGTAAAATGAAAGTTCTCTCCAAGTGCGGAGTAGCAGAGATACGACAAACCCTGCGCAGACCAAATCTTCTCTATAAATAACATGCAAGAAGTCTCAGACTTTCCCGAATATATGTATGTACATTTCAAAAACTGCGCTTTCCTTCATATGCCGAATGTGCCTGACATCACCTAGCCTTCAGAAAGATATCTACCACTTAGCCTGGGGGCTCTCCATGAATGCCTTGAGGATCTTGATCCGCTCCTCAAGGGCCGCAACATAAACCTTCATGTTCGCCTGCACCTGAGCCTGATCATCGCCCAGTCTAGAGTAGAAGTCCTTTCGGTAAGGGCAGGCCGACATGGCAGCGGAAAAGAGGGGCTTGACAACGAAGGAGTGGTGAGGCTTGAGGGTGCCGCCGTAAGCATTGCGGAAGGAGTCGGCGAGCTCGGTGGAGGCGTTGTCAATGTTGTGGCGAAGAGCTTGGGCGGTGAAGTCAAGTCCTCTGTAAGAACGAGATGTCAGCTATGTTCGGGAGATTGAAGGTGTCGATAAGAATTATGCATCATGCATCGACGAATGCGGCTGGGTGTCATGGGCTGAGTGACCGGGGAGGGGTAAGTCAAATCTAACCTAACGAGCCAGAGGAGACCCTCGGTGGCGGTGTGCTTTCCGGTCTTGAGCTCGTTCACAACAAGCTCTTGGAGAGTCTGGGACTCGGCGGGAGCAGCCAGGAACCTGTCCCTGACTTTCTGTGCGAGGGTTAGACCTGAGCGATGGCTAAATGCGGGGTAGTATGCTATCCGAACCTTGATGTTGCCGGTGAGGTCAGACTTGACAACGCCGAAAGCCTTGGATTGCATGAGATCTAGGTGTTTAATGTCAGCATACAGAGCTCTGTGACGTGCTGTACCATTTCAAATAACGGTTGCATACCGAACAAAGTGGTCAGGGCCTCAGCAGCATCGAGGAACTCCTCAGTTGAGATGCCGTTGGCGGTGATGGGAACGTCCGCGAAGGACTTCTTGCCGTCGAACCAGGTAGCCATTTTTGTGGAAAGTAGAGAGATAAAGTGTATGTTGCAAGTGCAAATGAGCACAGTTGACTGTAGGGAGGTAATAGAGAGAGTGTGAGTCGAATGATCAGGGGTTGGGGGACTTTATAAGGCAACGTGGAGGGGAGGTGGAGGGCAGGTCATCAACAGCCCACGGCGGCCTGTCACAACTCACCGCCGCAGGGGAGCGGGACACGCAAGCGGTGAGGTTCGAGACCAATAAACAAAGCGGGTCCCTTCGCCCCTGAGTGGCTACGTGAGCCATTGTTTCACTTGAGACAAAGCGTGCAAACATCAGAACGGATGATCAGGCGACCAGGCAACAAGGCAACAGGGCAACAGGGCACAAACACTTGGGAAAGGGGGAAGACCTCCAACGAACGACGTCATCGACTCCAGGCCAAGACTTGTCCCCAGTGTTGGTTCCTGGCCGATGCCAGATCTGCATCTCATCCTCCTCCAGCTTTCCTGATTCGATTTTAAACCACCCTTTCGTCCTCAAGGACACCCTAGATATCTCGTCGAGGGAGTTCCACCGGGGATGTCATGACTTCCCATGTGCCAACGGAGCAGCATTCCAGTGACGGAATGACCACCGATCCTCGTCTCGGGTATCATGGCTCTAAATATCGCGGGCTGGGTCCCGACTCTCATACTGCAGAGAAATTAGTATGTGTCTACACACAAACCATGTTTCAGCTACTAACCCGACAAAGCATCATGCCTCTCCCAAACACATACACATGACCAATCGGCGATTCTTCATCGGTCCCATTCCGCAGGGCTGGTTGCAGAATCACCGCAAATCGTGGTGGAGGACAAGACTCAGGTTGAGTAAATACTCCTCAAGGACTGTCACTTTCTCTGCAGACCCCATGGTCGCACGCTACACCGAGGAATACGACAGTGATGAATATGAATCGTCTCCCGAAGAAGAGTCAGCTGGTCTGGCAGATACTACTGAAGACGAAGCAACAGAACGGGAATCAGAAGGCGAAACCAGTGATCGTGAGCCCCGCCCGCGAAAGAGCTTACGGACTATTCCCTACACTCTCTCTGAAGACAACGGGCATGAGGTTTCGCGGACGACTACTGCAGACACAAGCCGGTCAACCTCTAGCGAAACAGCGAACCACGAACGCGCGTCTACTAGAAGACAAGATGGTGGCTCTGCTTATTACACGGCCCACGAGCGCGGCCCAAGCGATGCATCCTTTGAACCCAGCAGGATGGAATCGGAGCAACCCACGCGGGAACAAGACAGGCAAACGCTACAGGTTCCTAGTCAATATGCCGAGAGTCAGTCAAGCCCCATGATTCCTGCTAGCGATCATGGATCCACAACTGGGTTGCTAAGGCCAGCTTCGCGATCCAAAGGAAAGGGAAGAGCACCCTCTATCTCAACACCAGCAGATCTAGAACAGCATGAGCCTCGGGTGGAGAGCGACGAAGAGCAATCAATCCCGCAGGGCAAGCGAGTCCGGAGTAATCCTCTTCACCCACTGCACAAAAAGGCGGTCAGGTACAACCTGGATGACAATCTCTTGGACAAACAGCAGCGCCTTTTTTCGCGCATATCGAGGACACAGGGAGTCTTGTCGCGACACCGACCGCACCGGCGCAAAATCCAGGAAGGAGAGGTTTTGAAGGCAGAGAAAATGCTTGTCCGAATTGAGGAAACAATACAGGACAAGCTCCCCGATGACTATACAGAGAATGACAGTCTCAAGTCAGAGAACCGGGTTGTGGATCAGTGGCGGGAATACCTCGTGGCGTGTCGAGTGTCTTCCAATCCGGATGCGCCATTTTCCCTTCAAATGTACAAGACCCGTGTCATACCCGAAGTGCAGAAGGCAGGCACGCGGGTGTCACCGCAGTACGATATCCCGCTGGGTCGCAAACGGACCAAGGTAAATCTTTATTCACACTTGGACAAGACAATTGTCATCTGGGGGCCGTGTAAGCGAGGGACCAAGATCTTTATTGTTCGGCCGAAGTCTGCGGCGCATGCCATGGAATGGTACACTTTCCTGAGCCAGGTGCTAGGCAGGCGCCGTCCAACTTCACTCCCGATACATGTCCCAGACCTTGGGGTATCTCTTGTCTTCAAGAATCCGTTCGAACAATTGGAAGCAATTTATTCGAAGAAGGGGAAGGGTGGTGTTCTGGGTCGCGCTGCGACGGAGGAGAGCTCTGTCGCTACAGCGATTGTGCGCGGTTGCTTGGAGATGCTGGAACACCGCCCGGAATGGGCCGAGGTCCTGAACCGCTGGTCCAAGACTGAGATTATGGGGCTTGCCTGGAAACGATATGATCGATTGGAATGGGTTTTTGGTACCAATGAAGCCAATATGTATGGCACAATTGCGATGCATACGACCCATGAGCTCGAGCTGCGACCGAGGCAACATTATCACACTCACATCAAGCACGACCATGAGAAGGAGGATGAGCCTCCACCGGTGGAGGGCTTTCTTGTACGTCTCACATCGCAGCGTGGTGTACACCAGCGGTTGAACAAGATGTTCTTCAAACGGTTGTATTTCTTTACCCAAGATCACCACCTGTTTTTCTGCAGGCCCTCCAAGTCACTGCCCCCGGCGCCTCCAAAGCTCGACCGGGATGAGACTACCACGCCCTCAACGCAGCAGATCTTGGACGCCTCGCCTCTTTCTTACGACATCGATCCGTATCCATTGCAGGATGGTGAGATTACATGGCTCTCAAGTGGCAATAAGGAACACGTTGCCAAATACGACGAGCAGGCCTATGCCCAACAGCAAAGAAATGCCCATAATATTGAGAATGCAGACGGATTCATCGATCTAAGCCGGGTTAAACAAGTCCGCAATGTGCACCGGGATGCTTGCCCAGCTGATCCCAATCTCGAACAAGGGCCCGACGTCGATTTTCAGCCTGACGCGACAGATTCGCGCCGAGATGACGGCGCTACGAAGCAGTTCGATGATGCTAGGACGTTCGAGATGCTACTGCACAATGACCTTGTTGTTCGCTTCCAGGCGTACGATGAGATCACCAAGAATGAATGGATGAAACGACTTGATGCTCTGGTGAAATACTGGAAGGTCCGGCTGGCGGCTGATGCAGCGGAGCTGAAGCTTCTCCGCCAGCGTAATCAAGAACTTCTCGGAATCGACGAGGAAATGGAGTCAATCATGGGGCAATTCGCTCGAAAGTGGGAGGTCAAAAAGGCCGAGGCCTCGCCTCTGTTGCACAACATCTGTGCTCTGTCGGGCTGCCGGACAATCAAGGTATGTCACACGCCACTCCAACAGAGCAGCAGAATACTGACTTGCATTGCAGATGTCCGGACAACTATACCGGAAACCTCGCCGCCACAGCACCTTCAAGCGATGCCATGTCGTCCTCATGGCCGGAAAGTTGTTAATCTTTCGTACCTCCCTGCGGAAGCGCAACGGCGCCGAAGTGCCTCATATACACCATAGCTTGGAGACCACCATCGATCTGGCCGACTGCTATATATACTCGGGGCTTTTGACCGAATCAGACTTGCTTTACTCAAACCAGACGTTCGACAGCAACCGGCCTGGTCACAACTCCCTCCCGCGAGTCTATCTCTCGACAGACGTCTACACAAGTAGTGACGAGGACACCGCCATCGCGTTCGTGATCTGGCAGCCCCTGCGCAGAAACTACTTCCGCTCACGCGAGTACGGGACCAAGGGAGAGAAGCGGCAAAGGTTGAAGCAGGTGTCCACGCTGGGGGTGCACGGGCGGACCATCGTCTTCAAGGCGCGCAGCCGGGTGGAGAAAGACCGGTGGGTGTTGAGTATAGCATCCGAGATTGACCGGCTGCAAGAAGACCGGCCGGAGGATGTGCGAATCATCTCACAGCAGGATTAGCGATTGTTGCTTTGTTTCTTGAAGTATAGTTCCACGATCCGAAGCGTAGGATCGGTCTGCTCTCTAATTTCTATATAGTCACCACACATAGGAAGGACGAAAGAGAGGCAATATGTACATAGCCAATGGAAACAAACATAATATACACCATCCAACACCAACAAGCTTACAGTAAGCATCCCGCCATCCGGTCGAGCCTACGACAACTGCGGCCTCTCCAACTTCACCGCCTCCTTAACCACACGCTTTCTCACCTCCTCCCGATAATGCTCGCCAAACCTGCGCTCCGTATCCCCTTCCACAAGCCCCTTCTCCCAATCCTCCCAATTCAACCACCGCCACCGGGGCCACAGCACCGCTAACACCCGCCCCGTGATCAGACTGCAACTCACCGGACCGTAGGTATTACTATCCATCGACTTCCGGGGATCGCGCGCGTCGCCTTCCAACCACACATGGTTAAACGGCACGACCTGCGCATCCTTCAGACAGGGCTCGCGCGTCGTGATGCGGTCCCCGGGCAGTCCGACGACGCGCTTGATGGCGATATGGCGGGGATTCGCGGGGGAGCTATATCACACCGGAACCGAACCCGTTAGCTACAGCTACAGCAACAGCAACAGCAACAGCAACAGCAACAGCAACAACCATTCCCCCCTCCCAGAGCAACCCCGGCCCCCTCAAGCACCCCCCCTCTTCAGGATAGTTAAAGGACGAAAACTCACCGAAACGTAACAACCATCCCCCTCTCCAACCGCCGCTTCCGCTCCCAGGGCCACAAGCCCCCGCCCCCCCACATATTGACCAGCACCATGTCGCTGGCCGTGTGCATCTGCTCGTAGTCCTCGTTCAGGTAGGGCGTCATGCTGGGCCCGCGCACCCACATCACCTGCAGCACGTGCTCGGAGAAGAAGAGCCCGATCGGGAGGAGCGGGAGGGTGGCGCCCAGCACGCGCACGGAGCGCCGGAAGGGCTGCGGGAGGGCCGCGTAGCGCGCGCGGAGTGTCGACAGAAAGCTCGGGCGTTGGCGGGCTTTTTGTTGCGCTGCTTGTTGCTGCTGCTGGGCGTGCGCTTGCGCCTGCGCGCGGAGTTCGGCCTGGAGGTCTCGGACGAGGCGCTGGCCTTCGGTGGTTGCGCGGGAGAGTTCTTCGCGCGGGATGACGCGGGGTTTTGGTCGGTTTGGTTCGGGTGATGCTGGGGGCATTCTTGGGTGCTGGTGGGTTTGGGCGGTAGGGGAGGGTTTCTTTTGCTGGGGGTGGGGTGGTAAGCTGGGTTAGTGCTGGGGGTTTGCGTGCGGTGGAGCGGAAATGCGGAGGGAGGGAGGTGTGGATGCGGTCGCGGGGTTGGGAGGCTGGCTAGTACGGGAGGATGTCCGAGTGCTTCCTGGGTAGTTCGTTAAGTTGTCGTAGGTAGAGCTGGCAGAGGAATTGGTGCGCAATTGTGGAGGGAAACGGTGTCGAAGTGTGTCGCATCGGAGCGTGCGATGCGATGGAAGCCGCGGAGGTGATCGTGATAATTATCGCAAGCTTTGTTTGCGGTGTTTGCACTGATCGTTTCGGGAACTTTGTCCTGTGACCGTGGACCGGGCATGGACCCGAACTATAGCTATTCTACGAAGTATACCGTGAAAGACCGATAAATTGTTTTTACCTAAAATTCTCGCATCGACCAAGACTAAGAGTTGCATTAGCTATCATACTTGAGGGAAAATCTCAATGTCGATGGGGGTGATGTGCATTGCTCCATTCGCACAGGACCACTGAACATTCAATTCCCAGACGCCAGCCGAATCATAAAGTAACGAATTTGTCATAAGTTTTGTGCATGATTATCCATAGTCCCCAGTCTCAACTACCAATCCTTGGTCATCAGGCTATCCTTGGACCGAATTCCATCCGACGACGACTGCGAGCCATCCATGTCGATGATGCCGCTCGACTGGACGCTTTGCACGTCGGTGGCCGAAGGAGGCCGGTCGACCTCTACGGGGTCATCGTCCAGTCTCTCCGTGCGCCCGTCCTCGGACTTGTCCACTTCCTCCCAGTCGTCATCCGATTTGATGGAGAAGTCCTCGATGTAGCTTTTACCTCGCTGCGCGGTCGCGGTCTCGTTAACCCTCTGTTTCTTGATCTCCGGTTGGCCGTCCAGTCCGGGCTCCATGGTGGGCGCGTCGGGGAGCTTGGCTGCGAGTACTTCGGATGACAGTAAGGACTCACCGTCAGTGCTTGTTGGCTGGGATTCGCTCTGCTCGTTGTTGGTGTTGTGAACGTCCTGATCATCGGGTGGGAAGAATAAACTGGCAGACGAAGCATGCTGTTAGTGTCCACTTATCGAATGGTACAGAAGATAACGATTCATAATCGCGAAAGCTCAGATGAAGACGAAGGGGAACCAATGGTCCAGACTTACGGCACGAGCTTCTCATAGGCCACCTCGTCCTTGCGCTCAAAATTGCAGAAGATGATGCGCTCCAACTTGCCGATATTGCCAGCGGTCTCCAGGAACTGGCGCGTTTCGTCCAACACCGCTCTGGCGGCGGCCTCGCTCGGGTACCCATATACGCCCGTGCTGACAGCCGAGAACGCGATGCTTCTCATGTCATTCTCCACGGCCAGCTCCAGACTGCGACGGTAGCAGCTCCGGAGCAGCGACTCGGGCCGCCGGGCATCCCCGCGCCGGCGCTCGGATTCGTAGATGGGCCCGACGGTGTGGATGACTCGTTTGCAGGGGAGCTCGTACGCGGCGGTGATCTTGGCGTCGCCGGTGTCGCAGCCGTCCAGGGTGCGGCACTCGCGCAGCAGGCCGGGCCCCGCGGCGCGGTGGATGACGCCGTCGACGCCCCCGCCGCCCAGCAGGCTCTCGTTTGCGGCGTTGACGATGCAGTCGACCCCCTGCAGCTTGGTGATGTCATTGCGAACCAACGCGATCGTGTCGTTGAAGGCCTTGGACGGCGGCGCCAGAGGGGACGCGGCGGGGACCAACCGCTTCAGCTTGTACAGAAGGGAAACGGTCGGGATCTCCGCGAGAGGTATAAGGGGGCCTGCCATATTGCAGCACGGTCGTGTAGTAGTTGTTTTCAGGAATTGTTTATCCAAACGGCAGCGATTGGAAGTCTTCCCCGCGTTTTGGACGTAGAGGTGGCGGGAGCCGGGCACTTGCAGCGCAGTTTGATTCGATCGAGGGGAGACGTTCTGCACGAGTGAGACAGTTCTTCATCCGATGATACTTTGATTCAACAAGTCTCAGATCAAGAAGATATACAACAGATGGTGTTCTCGAAGGATGTTCTTTGATGCAAGTAAGTAAGCTGTTGTGGAGGGGGATGAAGCTTTGCTTGTCACACGTGATTGACACATGATTGACTCTTATCTTATCGCCGGGCCAACCCAGAGGTGAATCATGTCACAAACGTCATAGTGAATTGGAATTAACCTCTGCATTTCTTGGGCCACGGTGGAAGGAAAGAACTCCCAGTTGCCTCAGGATAGCAGTATATGGAAGCCGCGGTGTCCCTTTCGCGTTTTTTCCAAGGCCCGAGATATCACCCTGGTGGCATTTCATGCCCTGAGACGAAAAACAATAACACAAGCTTGTCGCGAACCACGAAATAGCAATCTCTCAACCAACTGATCATATTTGGAATTCGGTTTGTGGAAGAGCAGGCAAGATCTCCTTCCTACAGCAATACAGGCCTGTTCAAGCTACTTCTCGTATAGTCTGTTAAGCGGATAGACCCTACAGAACTCGGTAGCAGTATCAACGCCCAACCACCTCACCTCCGCGCTGTACACTACTCCGTACACTGAGTATGAATCGGATCTACGACGTCAGAATCCAAATCGATCCACGAAAAGCCCACAATCGTTCGGGATCGAAATTTACCTGTCACCCGACTAAGGTGTACAAGACACTCCACAGCTCTTATCTCCTCACCCGAACCAATAATTGCCAGCCCAGTACATGAGGAGTCAAACAATTCGATTATGCGCGGGTAGCAAACCAAGCGCCTGCAGGAACTGGAGGTCCGTTCTCCTCCTTCGCCCCACGAAGAAAAAAAAAAAAAAATAAGCATTTGCATGGACGAGACCGAGAAAAACAGAGACTTGAGCCTCTTTATCGATCGAGAAATGTGACAGATGCTAAGGTAGATCGAGAGATCGAATCGCACAAGGTTTAGATGTCACCGCTTCTTTTGATCGGGCTCGCAGATCCAGCTCCGGGGCCTCCTCAGCTGCCCCCTTTGATTACCCGATACGGCGCATGATGTATGCACGGTGCAGATGTTCTGGTTTGCTTTTCTGATCTGACAGATCGAGTCAGAAGTGATCTGTAACACTGCATCCGGAGTCGAGAGAGAGAGCAGTCCACAAGGCATTAGACTACCGCCAGTAGATCCCAAATCCAGCCACATCTTGCAGATGGGACCTGGATGATTGGCCCAGAAGAGGGCAGGGCGAACTAATGCAAGGGCCAGAAGAAAAATGCCTGTGCACAGCTGCGGGCTGATGGTGGAAGCTCTTGCACGCGACAGTTGAAACCTAAAGATGAAGTGGTTTGCTGGGTTGTGTGTTTGTTTCTAGTGGAGAGAGGGGATGAAATGCATTGTGATTTGTCAAATGATGTCAGTGACAGTCTCAAGCTACATGCCCTGCGCGATTAGTCGCAATATGTATGCACACACAGACACACACTCTCTCTTCCTTTATATCATCATGCATGTGTACTGTACAAACTGCATCGCCACATCATCCAAACATCTGCATGCTCTCAGACAACTCCTCCGCTCCTCCCCCCTGTTACTGCATTTCCATGCATGGGAAGCACCTTCGACGGAGAAAGGGTTGTGTACGGGGATATTCGGACAGGAGAAAAAAAAAAGTCAATGAATTCAACCTATCAATCTCTTAACCTCTGCCACCATGAAACCACTCCGCATTCGGAGTTCGGATGCATGTCAATCACGCCCCTTCGCCCAAAAGGACAAGCATATTACGAGTACAGTACATCTGCATTGTCTATGAACGAAGGGCAAGGGGCGCAAGACGCACCCGACTAATCCATGCTGCAATGGATGCAAGTCCAGCAGATCTAGTGTGGTTGCCTTCCTCGTTGCCTGTTCCCGAATTTAGCAACTCGGGATGATGGCAGACTTTGGCAGACAGGTGCCAGATGCAACCGATGTGTGCAGGTGAGCTAACTTGTTGAGAATTCCAAAGGGTTGCCACGGAGTACTGGGTTGCCCATGCCCATGCTCATAGACCGGCAAGATGTAAGCCGGCCATAGAAGCAAAGTCGCTCGCGCAGCGGAGGGATCCAAAGAAAACCTTGTGGATCGATCCATGGCATTCGAGGTATACTACTCCGTACATCCGCTGGAATGTGAATCAATGTCTCAATCTGATTCCTTGAGCTTATACCTTAACGAGCATCGCCAAGGCATACCTCGCCCCTTCCCCAAATCTGAGCCATGGGGAAAAGCTTTGGAGGGTGGAACGATAGGGTTGTACGGGTCTTGCGGCTCTGTGTATCTGCACTACTAGGCAGTAGCAGATCCCTCATGCGTATCGAATCGAAATCTGCATGGCGAGACATGACCATTACACCCTCCCGCCCCCAAAAAAGACATTGGATTTGTAGTTTAAGACCGAACCCCTGGGGGAGCAACCGAGTTATGTGTTAATTTAGCTCCCCGCCCACAAAAAAAGGTTCTAAGGTAAACTTTGGTGGATCAGTTTCGAAGAAGAAACTTTCGCATCATACATGCGGTCCAATAGCTGGGTTCCAAATCATGTCCCCAAAAGAGGAAAAACCAAACACCCAATGAATGGAACTGACTGACTGGTTGGATTTTGTGTTGGGGTGGGAAGCTGTCCTCTCCGGGCGATTCGGTAGATGCCAAAGAGATCTGGGTGCCGTCGTACCGGGCCCAGGGGACGGCGGGAAGCGCCAAAGCAAGGGGGGGGGGGGCCGCGAAGAAGGACGAAAAGAAGTTCTGTTCTTCGCAAACTATCCGAGAAGGAAACGAGAAAAGAAAAATAAAAAGGAAAAAGAGGGATGGGGCAAACAGATCTTCCATTCTGATCTTAGTGGTTTAGTGGTGTAGCTAGCTAGCTAGTCTAGCTGGGTAGCCTTTTCTTTCCTCCCCAAACAAGAAGGATTGGGAAAGATTTTCTTCACTTCGAACCCTTTCCTAGTAGTTGTGTGTCTAGACCTGAATAGTTTAGCTAGGAGTGTTTTCCTTCATCCATCGCTCGGTTCAAACCTCCAGTAAATCCAGAACACCCAAAATCATTTGCACTACGTCCGTACTACTGACATGCTAACAACACACTGCTGGAGCGGAAGCCGAAAAGTGGAGGGAGGGCAATCGGCCTTCTCTTCCGTCCAGTCAGCGGATGTATCCGTTGTGGACAGGTCAATGCAGAACGAAGCTGAAGGAAGGTACAGTAACAAGTTCCAAACTTCCAATCGAATTCCGACCGTTACCCGAGGTCGCCGATTACTCACGGCAGAGACTGAGAGAAAGGACTTTTTCTTTAAAATGCTTGGGTTACTATCTTTTTTGTCTAGACCACGTACAATGCCGTAGAATGGCTAGTGTGGTTTTGGGGGGGATCTGAGCGCCCAAGCCCAAAGGTGCTTAGAAGGAAGGTAGAAGAGGAGCGGCCGGCGCGCGCGCGATCCAAGATGAACTGTCCCATGATCCCGTGCGAGATCGCTAATCCTAACCCGCTTGGGCTATCAGAGACTCAGGATGTCGGAACCATCTTCTGCACACCGTGGAGTCGCGGGACATCCCCGACGGAGAGGACAGTTCGATCGGATGGTAGGAAACTAAATCTACGCTAGTTTATGGAGATGAACCAGAGGCAACACCGCTACACAATGAACAAAAGGAAAAAGAGAGAAAAAGCAAGCATGCGTAGATAGGTTAGGCGTATTGAGTGGATGATTCTTGTCATGCGTAAGTCCTTTCACTCCACCTTTCTCTTTTCATGTACATTGCAGACTCACATGTGGGCTAGAGCATCTCCCCTCGTCCAAAAAAGGGAAAAAAGAAAAAAAAAAAAAAAAAGAAGAGGAACCGTGATCAAGATTTAGGCAGCCGTGCATGCTAGTCTAGTCATGCCTTTTCTCCACGCAGAAAGACTAACAACGTATGCTTGCTGACTCTTTTCAATTTCCCTCCAACCCCTCGTGTTCACTACACGTTGTAGTCCAAACGCAGTCCCCAGAAAAAGAGGGGCTGGATACCTAGTACTAGCTTCATCGGCAATAGCGATATTCATCCAGGGGGTGAGTGGCATGTTTCGAGATTTCATAGTCCACTAGTTAGGCCAGGGAAGGGCTCCATCGAGCCAGTTCAGGAGGATGGTAGATAAGGTGCGAGCGAGCGAGCGGATGAGCCCGAGCCTCCGATCTGCATCACTTCCATGTGAGAGGACCATTACCAGAACCGACTGTAAGTCGGTACAGTACGGAGTACTGTCCATCGACTACTACGTTCGTAGTCAGGAGGTTTAGTTACCGGTAATTAGCAGCGTCTGGGCGAAATCGAGCCACGAATCTAAACCTAAACGCCGGCTGAGCCAATCAATGGGCATTGCCCTGGCGGTAGCTTGCGAGCGTTCCGATACGAGGCTGTGGTGGTATTTCAGCTGGTGGTAACTTATTGTCCGAATCTGAAAGGCAAACAGATGCCTTTACTGGGATCTACCCTGTAACTGCTAGTCATATGTTCTGTACAGTATGTACCAAAGAGCGGAATTTGTAGAACACGGCGTCATATGTACATACTGGTTACATACTGCGTATCTGGAAAACGTATACAGAAGCCTGACAAGATGCAGGGGTTACCGGGACAGACTTCTTTCGTCGATGGCAAAGGGTCTGTTGCGGCTGTGGTGCTACAGAGTCATCAATATGGTGCTCATGTTATGGTATACGTAGAGCTTGCTGCTATGCGGTTTGAGCTCTCAGCTCGGCTGGTGATGGAGCCATGTCTTCATTAGGTTGACATTCTGCTGTGGGTTGAATCTACACAGCGTGTCCGCACGTACTCAAGCCAGACACACGAGTGACCATCCAGACACTGACGGAGCCTTCAGACAGGCGCGCATGAATGCGCGAAGATGAATCGGATTAAGAGCAAATAGTTGAGACAGGCATGTCGAGCCAACAAGTTGGAAGCAACCCCTACATCATCCATACATCATCCAACCAGACCGCCGCAACAATCGCGACTGTGCCAACCGACTGTGCTGGAACCGGATGATATACATACATACACACATACATGCATGCATGCATACATACATACATCTTCCTGCGGCCTCCATGGACATGCAGTACCGTAATCCCTGCTGCTGCAAATACGGTCAATTGTTATTGGTATGCATGAACACCTCAGAATTGCAAATCCAACGAGCCAGCCAGACTAGCCTTTGTTTGTTTTTTTTTTCTCGTTCTCGAACAGGAATGCAGCTCCGATACGCCGCTACGGCGCCTTTCTGTCTTAGTTCTGGATATGCGGTTTGCGATTGGCGATTGGCGATCGATTCGTTCTATTCCTTCTCGAGTTGTCACAGATCAGATCCCGATATCTCAGGCTGCCTGCCCCCCCCCTCCCCCGGTCGATCTACCTGCAGCCTTGTTCGCTAGGGTTCGATACCCAACTGCGGGATCCTTTCACCTCAAACTCCGCAAGTTAGAGTCTGAAAACATTGGAAGTCCCAAAGAGGCCTC